TTCAGTATAAAGTCATCGCTAATAATCTTAGAAATAATTCCTTACTTTTTGTTGAACAATTAGTTACTTCTAATGGAAACTCTATGCTAACGTATTATGACCTTAATATTCAACCTGGGTTTTCGTCTATATGTTGTATTCCTAAGTGGTTCAATATTCTATAAGATATCATACTTGTTGATTTCGATAACTGAGCAATAAGACATAAATATCTGCATCCAAATAATTGTACCTTTGATTTCTCTCCACTGACAAAACGCGCTAGTATAATATCCTTCATATTAGAATAGAACTTTGGATATAATAAACCTTTCATTAGAAGACTACTTAAAACCGAAGAGCATTACGCACATATTATGAATGTTTATCCAACACGTGAACATGACAATAGAACATTGCTTTCTGATTGCTCTCGATATGAACTACACAATCAGCAGATTTACATTCCATATCAGACTGTTAACAAAGACCATAAATGTTTCTTCATTGTTCCAATTAACCTTTGCTTTCATATCCCAACATATCATAATACTACTGAATCATCATATGGATGCTCATGGTCCATTAATCTACTTAATGAACTGGCATCCTTATTCATTAAACTTCGTATAACTTCTCATTTTAATTTACCTGCATTCACTTTTGTCCTACCTATTGCATCTTCTTTTATAGAAAAATTTATTCCTTCTTCACACTCGCAGACTTTACTAAACTTTCACTCTCAATTCAGTTTTTACATTTTCTTAGAATTTTATACTGATAGATCCTTGGTTAATCTTGACTTACCATCTATTAAAATGGGTCTGGCCTGACTCCATTAGCTCCACAAATCTCATATTCTACTGCTTACATTGCATCATTCCCATTGTTCTCAACTGCTGAGTTAGCTGCAATATTGACGGCTATTCTAGTCATCCCAAATGGATGCCATATCAATATCTTCACTGATTCTTATACTGTTATTTCACAATTTAACTAGTATAAACTCCTGTCAACTATATCTCTGTCAGAGAGACCCTTTCTTGAAATTGTCAATATTCACATTTGGCAATGTTTATTTCAAATTATCAATGATTTATCGCTTACAGTAAAACTGAGTAAAGTTAAGGTACATTCAGGTGCTATCTATAATGAAGCTATAGACTTACTGGCAAAAAACTCTCTGAATACTCCTGCTCTAAATTTTATTATCAATGACCAATGACATTCTACCTTATACTTTAATAAAATGGCTATTGCCTTACCTATTAGGCAATTTATCAAAGAAATCATATGAGCAGAGGCCTTCTCAGCATTCTTGAATCTCGACATCATTCAAAAATATCTCAATCTGAACATCGATTGGATGGCCATCATATTTTGCATTAAAGACAATATTGCTTTTAACGCTACCAATTATGTAGCCTTAGCCCTTCTGAAAACAAAAGTCCAAAGGATTCTTGAAATATTTCCTATGATGAAAACTCTCAAAAAATACCATTCACGTATTTTTATCAATACACAAAATTACATTTGCTGTGATACTGAAGTGAAAGATTTTGCTCACGTATAGACTTGCCATTTGGTACAATATAGAACTCATTTAATCATTAAAAACGCCAAAGTATTACTTAGTAATATCACTTAATCAGACCCCTTGGACCCAGTGTTGTATACAGACATTGTTCTGATGATTTTGGCGGACACAGGACGTCTGAAAGTCTATGTCTGGGACTGTGTCCGCAGGATAGTTGGGATATGGACCGATATTAGATATCTTTTGGCCAGAATTAACAAGAGATATAGCCAGCATTAATGTGAACAAAAAGTCCTAGACATAAAAAAATCTCGGACATGAACACAGACAGTCCAGTCTGGTCTGATTCATGTTCGTGTCCACGTCCCATGACAATACTGCCTGAACCTGCGAATCAACTGGCTCAATATTTGGTCCTTGTCTCTGACATTACCTTTCTCCTTCATTGATTTGATCAAAAGTTTTATCCCCTTCACTTTAGTTACATTAGTATCATCATCACTAATTACTAAAGATGCTACCAACATAGCATTATCTACTTTTATGCATTTCATCTATGAACAATCACAAGATATATGGATTGATTGGTGTTCAATACTCAAAGAATTTGAAACGACAAATGGTATTACGAAAAATTTGAAAACATCCATACTGATAGTTTAGGATATGAATTCACAACTACTAATCTTACTGTAAACGCTTTGTCTTTAATTAATAATATGGTTTGATAGAGATCCTAATAGATAAATTTTTGGTGCAGTAAGGGCCAAACACTTTCCTTTTTCTGATTACTGGAATATGAAAACATGGTTCTGATTGTGTTAGATTCTGGGAAAATGCAGGATTGGTCTTGATTTAGATAGTTTTATGATTATTTAAATAGAGATTTTCGTTAATTCTAAATATATGTAATTTTTATTATTATTTTTCAATAAAGTTTTTGCGAAACTACCACACTTAAAAAAAAATAAACAAAAAAAAATCTCTTTCTCTTTTTCGCAATGCCACCTAAGAGAAAGATGTCTAAACAACGAGATCTTCATATATCAACAAAAATATTTCTAATAATTCTAACAAAAAGACAAACCTAACGTAAATAAAAGACATTACTCCAACTCAAAGTAGCTTAACAATAGTTGTATCTCCAGAAACTATAGAAGTTGACCTAACACCTTTAGATAAAGGTAAAAATAAAGAAGAAAATATTGCTCCTCAATCTCTCAACGTCGACGAAGTGTACGACCTTTCCAAAAATCTTTTTAATGAAAATTACAAATCTCCTCAAGCCTTTGACAGGCTAAAACTATCTTATCACACGTTTTTTCCTTTACACAACCTTCCTGGAAAATCGTCACAACAGAAAGTCTCCTTTATTATTGACCTTATTTTCGACCATTATAATTCATTCACTGGTGTATTCGCTTCAAAACACCCTGACAATATCACTCTTCGAATTGCCAAAATTTCTTTTTGAAACAAAGAATAATGAGATCACGCGTGTATTATCAAGTTGCCTAATATGAATAACTGCACGTTTTTACTTTTGGAGATCATCTCCAAATATCAATTTGTTCCAGCTCAGTCGATCAAAGTCACAGAAATCCCTTTAGATGCAACAGAACACAGAATTTGAATGGTATTCTATAAACTAGGAAAGATCGTTAGGCTCACAATAAACACAAAAAACCTCTGGCAGCAAGCGACTATTACTTTTAGCGCTGACTCTAATTTTGATAAGATAAAAAGGGATATAGATTTTTTGTTCCCAATGATATAGTTAGATATCACATATATGATCTACCAAAAAAGAATATACTTAATAAATCCAAATATTCTGCCAAATTGGCTGGGCTTTCCAGATTTACGACAGAAAAACAACTTATCAAAATTGGATATATATTGAATACCACTGTCTGGATTATACCTAGAGCTAGATCTAATTACCTTCCCCTTCAGCATGCGTATTTCTACTTTAATTCTGATGATGATGTAGAAGCTGCAATTAATCCTAGAAAAAGAAAAACTCCAAACAACCGCAATATACAAAAATTATATCAACGCTTTCAACCGGCATAATTTATAAATTATAAAGCACCATTGAAGCCCTTAAAAGATGCTGTCAATCCAAACGTAACCTTTGCTCACATGACTGAAAATAATTATAAACCTAAATCTAATTTCAATAATGAGGTGAGAGGACAGAAGATCTTGCCAAATCAAAAACCACCATCAAGTAACACTTACAAAAATAATGAAAGATATAATCTACAGACAAGTTCATAGTCTGATGATATCCCCAATATCATAAATGATCATTGAAAAAGTGAGTCTAGATAAGATCAAGTATAGTAATTCATATAGCATAAATTCCATTTCAAAGCTTACTGATGCGCAATTTCAAGAGATCATAGATTATGATATATCTTTGAAAAAGTTGTCTCCAAAAGCTAGTCATGTGTCCGAAATTTCCAAGACAGCCCATCCTGGAAAAAAAGTGCTTGGAGTAAATGCATCATCTACACCTCAAATCACTCCAGCTAAGGCAGATGATAATGATCTCACAGATCTCAAGGAGAAAGATTTCTGTAGTAGTAAGATGTTGATCACAAATGTATTGTCTGCATCTCAACCTTATGACCGCTCCTATTTTCGCAACAAGACATTGGACCAATATCCTATTTTATATAGAGAATTTAGTAGCGAAAATTTCAATTATTATGGTATTACCGATAAGACATCATGCCTATTATGCGAGCTAGGCCATGATGATGAGGAAAGTATAGAAGGTAGATATAAAGCTGAATCCTATTTTATTAAATGTGAATAGCGCAAAATTGAGATAGTTATATAGTCTCATTGCTTTACAATAGTCTGAGTAACTCTTTGAAGTGATAATCTATCTGGGAATTTTAATCTTTTTTTCAAATGAATAGGTCTATATGAGAAAAAAGTGATTTAAATTATTTGCAGTTATATAAAAAGGAAAATGACTGAGTCTGATAAAATACTTATCTGGATTGGCATGTCAAATTAAATTGGAAGTCACAAATTCAAAGCCAGAAAACAAAGTATCATATTTATCTTTTCCTGAGCAATGTGAAGAAAAAAGACCTATCACTTTCAAAGTCAAACCCGATCCAGAATTAATTATTAAATCCGTCTTAGAGCATTTCACATACTTGGAATTCCGAAATAGTTTCAGAGGGTTTGATAATTATAATTTTGTATCCGCTCAGCCGTGGAGCTCACCATACCCTATTTGTGATGGAAAACATAGGAATTATGGATTACATGGCGAATGGTATAGGAATGGAACAGAATATTGTCTTACTTGCTTCACTTCAAGCAATAAATTCAAGTTCGCAATTGTAGCATAATTCATAAATCTTATCATTATCATGTATAACAATTAACAAGCTATTATATTTATTTTTTCATCGCTCATTAATAAAGACTTCTCGCTTATCACCTGATATGTAAAGTGATGTCAGAGCGGGTCACGATGTCTGTATTAAAAGTCAGTTGCGTAACTGATCAACTGATGAGTCATCAATCTGTGCGACAATTAATTTCTAACATAGACCGTTTGCGATAATCAATTTTCTTACACAGCCCATTCGTATTACGATTTTTTCCAAGTATAAAACGAACTGCCATGACTTCTGTAACACTAAACTGCTTGATTTGGGGAGAAGATCCTTACGAAAAAGCTTTACCGGTCGATATTGATACTAATAAGAATATCGGTGCCCTTAAGAAAGTTATCAAGAATGATATTAGTGAAAGCGTGTCGGCGAGAGACCTTAAACTGTTCAAAGTCGATATTCCCCTTGGAGAAACCAGAGACGAGAATGTCGTGAAGATGCTTGAACTTGGTGATCTCAATATTGGTCAGGAAATGAATAATAATATACAAAAAATTAGTGATTATTTTAGTGCGCAACCTGTCGACATAAACTTACATATTCTCGTGCAACTTCCTACTGTTGCCACCGGTGAGTCAAAAATTTAGTCAATGTGATTTTTTTTTCGTCTATCATATTCGCCAATAATTCCGAATACTTACTTATTCTTGTGCTTTCTTTCCTGCTTCTTGTCGTCAAACCCGCCCAAAAAACACATTCGCGTTATCGTAGAGCAATCCGATATTAGTGGTAAGTGAGTCGTAATATATTTAGTCAATGCGAGTGAACACGTCTCGGCTTGATTTATCGATAGTTGTTATCCTGGCATTGTGACGTACTTGTTTGATTCATATTCTGTAATGTATTTTTTTCACCTTCATCTGACACGTGCAGGAAAACGGTCAATTTCGCCTTCTGTTGAATCAAGAGAATCCAAGAAGGGAAAAACTATAGGTAAATTTTTACTAACACGAGGAGTCGTCAAATTCCATGAGCTATGACTTATTTAATCATTCCTTTTTATCTTTTTTTATCAGAGGCGGAATTTAGTAACATTTGTGATTTGGTCAAACATTTACGAAATAGTAAAAAAGAGGTTATTGCATCAACGTCCGGTTCAACCAGTATTGAAGATGCGATCGAAGAAATAATTATAAAAGAGGAAGAAGTTAATCCATGCAATATTATTAAACACCCTCAAGAAAAACCTCTTGCAGTGATTAAGAAGCCAGCAATATATGTGAGAGAATCATACGAGGAGCTCTACCATCTAATGATCGACCAAGCTTCTAAGAGTTCCGATCACAAGTTCCTCGTCACCGGCACTTCAGGTATTGGTAAATCATGCTTCTTAATTTACTTCTTAATCCAGCTTTTGTGTGAATCCGAGAATCCCACGATCATTTTTCAGCCAGTTCAAAGTGAAGACTTCTACTGTTTTGAGGATCTTTATCTCAGTTTCGGTCGTTATGATGATTTCTCAGCTCACTTCCAATCCTCCGAAACGTGGTACCTAGCGGATGGTATTTTATCTCCCAAGTTAGTCCCGGCGAAAACGGTGGTTGCTTTATCGCCAAAAGGCGTAGTTAAAGATGAATTTCAAGAATTCGGAAAGGATCTTGTACAGACATTTTACATGTCACCTTGGTCACTAGAGGAGTTGTCATTTTGCCGGAAATACGTTTTCTCGGACGTGCCTGAAGACATAATGTTAGCTCTTTATGACAAGGCAGGCGGTGTGCCAAGATACGTTTTCCGGAGGGTTGAAATCTCATTGAAATATAATTTAGATCCAAAAACACCTGAAGGGAAAGAGATGATCATAAAAAAAGCTTTTGAACGCGTTGAATTTGCTCTTTTGCAAGTTAAAAACTTCGACGATCTTATAGCTTGCTTCACCGAAAATGCCTATTTTATTCAATATAGCAGTCGCCTTGTTCACCGATGGCCAGATCCTTCTTATAATGATTATCATCTTCAATGGGCTTCTCGTTATATATACGACGAGATCGAGAGAAGGCTAGAGAAACAGTCATGGAGCTCTCTTTTGGAGAGGATCCAAATGATGAGAAATTATCCCAGTGCTAGAGGGATTATGTTCGAGATGTACGTAATCCACCTTTTCCGGTCTAGTAATGATCAATACGCTATGAGAGAACTGCGGGAAAGCCCTAAGACAACAGATATTCCCCAACATAGGAAATTTTCCATGGGTAAATCGCCAACAGTTGGTAATATTCGAACTGCAAAGGAACTTTCAAGTAAAAGTGATGATATAATTATCCTTCCTGAGACATCAAATTTTGGTGCGGTAGATCTATTTTACACACCAGATATGATGTTTCAGGTTACGGTGTCCAACAATCATCCAATCAAACAAGTCGAGCTAGTTAATATAGTTGAAAATATGCCAGCCTATGGAAGGAAAACCCCAATTAATTTGGTCTTTGTGGTACCGGACGATATATATGACACTTATAAATATCAAGATATTGTAACAAAAGATGCGAAAAGTAAGAGCTTTCGAAAGGTAAAAACACAGGACGCTAAACTCAAGAATGTTCAACAATGGGTTTTAAAAATCGATATTAGTATGAGTAAGTCGACTAAGTTTGTAAAAGCAAAAGAAACTTTTATGCAAAGACTTAAATTCGGATCATCATCAGGATCGTCATCTGTGGTTGAGTCAGATTCACCTTCATTAATACCAGAGTCAGGATCAGGAGTTGATTCACCTACAATAGCACCAGAAAAGCATAAAAAAAAGTCAAAGAAATTTAAAGATAAAGAACCTGTCTCCTTGTAATGTATATTTGGAATAGGAAACGCAATGCTCAACAATAAAACTTAAGTTATCGGCTAAAGAATTTTGCCCATTTCGGGCTTTATTTTTAAACATGTGTAACTATGTATCGGAAAAATAGCAGAGAGAGTGCCACATTTGCAAAAAAAATAATTTTCACTAATCAACACAAGATGAAATTAATATATCATCATAATTACTGTGCCATTTCTTCTGCGTCTGTCTCATCAGAAAAAATAGTATTTCTTGCACGTGAATAAAACATATTTAATAAAGCAATTGTATATCTGTCCATATTGGGCTTTCTTTTGCTTCTACATATATAAATTGATCGCAATAAGATTTCGAATAAAAAAACATGGCTAATTTGCTGACTACTGCGCCATGTAATTAATCCTTTTTTCTGCGCAATTAAGTCGAGCCGGACAGACTCTACCACCAGAAAAAACAGAATTTCGTTCACGTGTATTCTCAAACATATAATAAAGCATTTGCATATCCCGCCCATATCAGGGGTTTATTTTTTAAATGTGTATAACTGATTGCCAAACTTCATGGAAAATAATTTGCCGAGCCCGGACATCGTGTCCAGACTCTACCATCAGATAGTCATGTACAATGACTTACGAAGTGCCTTAACGATCGGCTATTTCGGGAGATAAATTTTACCGGCTAAAGAAAAAGTCCGAAACCTGGTTGGCTGATCATCTCGTGATTTATGGAAACTTGCCAGCACCTGGAACTGTCTTAGAACTGACAGGCAGGATGATTCCTGTGATACGATATACGTCGTACACCTCTGATTAATGATCAGAGAATAATATTATCTCGGAACTAATTTAACCGAATTATGCCATCAGAAAATCCCTTACATGCATGTGAATATGCATATAGTCAGATGAAGACCTTATATAAACCCTTGATATGCTTGTAATCGAATAAAAAATGAATCTGATATTTTATTTTAATATACTTGATACAAATGCTATAACGCTAAATATTCGCTAAAACGCTATAAATCACTAAAATTGCTATAAGTCTTATTTATTGTCCATAATCACATATAATTATCAAAATGCCTGGACTAATGGTTAAGATCATTTTAGATAATATTTATAATAAAGCTGTACCTGAACCTGTTAATCTCCGTCCTGGATATGATATGAAACATGTTGCTAACTATTATAATGGTCGTTTAAATGAACAGTTTAAAAAAGTGGTCAAAATAGAAAAGCAATATGATTATTTGTCTATCATTAGACCTCATGAAACACCTCAGCAATGGGCTAATCGTGTTAGAGGTTCTCTACAAGAATTAATTTCTAAGCGAGAATATAGTTTATATCATGTGTATAGCCTTTTCGCTTCATTCGGGCAAGTAGAATCTAAAACATACCACGTTAACAATGAGCTATATGAAGATTACTTTGGCTATCGTAGACCTAGTGTTCATAAAAGTCAGATGGCTATCTGCTTTAAATGCTGGAAATTGATAAAAATTACCGAAGTAGAGCCAAGAAAGATATATTATGATGGATAGCACAGATAGGGCTATGAAGTAAAGTCTGAAGACTTGTTGAAAAATCATTGAGATCAGGAATATAGAGATAAGCCATTTTGTATTTTACCTGCCAAGCAAGAAATATCTTTACCAGCTTTTTATTGATCCTCGAATTACAAAACCAATACAAGCGAAATATTTATCTCGTCTCGGTATGCAAAACAGAATAACTTGCTACCATCCATAAACTATCTTAATCAACCAAAAGATACTACAATAAGATTAAGAAATGGGGTAGAAATCACGATTGTGTAACTGGATGACTGACTAATTTTGAGAAATGTAGACCATTACTTATTTAATATATAACTTATTATATTTTTTTCTTAGCAAAGTGATCGGCAAAAATATCAATAAAAAATAGCTATAGACGCTTTGCATATTTGCTTACGCCTTACAGTCAGCCAATGCATATAGGCATGTGTGACAGCCGTTAAGGTGCTAAAGCATAAATAAACATGTTCCTGATCTTCATTAAGGCATGTGAAGTACATATATGATGTAATAGTGATATACTGTCAATCATCTGTGCAAGTGCGACCATCTGCTTGTACGACGAAATAATTTCATACATAAAATTGACCCTTCCTTTAATGCAGGAGATAAATTCTAATAGCTATTCGCCCTGAAGATCTTTGATCATAGGAGATATTTCTCCCTTCTTCAGTCATCCTAATCCGGACAGACAAAAAAAAATCTATATATATATGCATTACCCCCAATGTCTTTCTAAATGTTAAGATTTTCAATGTACATTCCACATGCCCTTATTCTTGAATACAAAATTTGGCGTAAAGTGCCTTACATATTTCTCCTATCTATCCCCAACATGAATTATGAGTCCAGAGAATCGTAAATGGAGACACTTAAAAGGGCAGTATAGTGAAATTATTATGCCTTTACGTTATTTTTTTTTTAACTTCACTTAGCAGAGCTTTTACTAACATTTAACTTTCACTCTATTAAAACATGGAAAAATTCCTTTTAACGAGAGAGCCTCTCAGCATCGTTAGGATTTCCACAGCATTGTTTGTACGAGTAGAGCAAGGTGAATGGTCAGGTATTCTTGAAAAGGAGGTAGAAAACTTCGAAAATGTTCTGAAAAGAGTTTTAGAATAAGTCACCTTGGAGGACGTTGAACGAAAAAAGAAGCTTCGAAGTTTTGGTACCGGAAAAAAATTAGCTAAATGGGTAAGGTGATAAACTATTTTCATGATGAATATATGGATATGATGACTTGTATTTTTTAGGTTTTCTAAAGGCATAGTGGGATC